GGTAGATAATAATAGAAAAGTGTGTGAGTTAATTAAGTTCTGAATTTTAGTTTAGTGTTTTTTTTTGTGAAGATGTGGACATCCTTGATGAAGAGAGAACTCCCTACTAATGGAACCGAACTTTCATGTTTCTTCTACTAATGGAAGATAATCCAAAAAGAAGTTACGTGTTGTGATGATGGTGACTTCTCACTTCTAACCTTTGGATTACACTATTGAAGATTTACAGACAAGAGGCAGAAGATTAGTTATAATAATGCAGAAAGAGTCTTTTAAAATCCATAGTCTAATACTAAATATTTGGTATCAGAATTTGGAGAAAAACAGTCATCGTTGGAATCATGGAAACCACCACGGAGGAGACGACGACTCAGAGTGGAAGATGCACCGCATCCTCTTTTTTGTATGGCGATATTCTTAGAATCATTGAAAACTGGCAATTCCAAATCTTATTTCTTTCGAAATGATCAATACATTGGATTCTTAATCGAAGAACATCTATAGATCTAAATTGAAAATTAGCCAATGTTACACAACAAAAGGAAATGATGTTTATGTTGCGACGATGATTGTTGAGTTTCATTATAACGGTGATAGCCATATCTGAAGAGCGCAATAGATCAACAAAAAACAGAGTTGATATTTTTTTAGTAAGCAACGCATCTCGTAGAAAAGAATTGTTAAAGTTCACTTCATTTATTGTATCGGGTTTTCTTAGTTTTAGTTATGTACTTTCATGTATTTTTTGTGTAATCATAAATTATATATAAATAAAGATAGATGTTAAAAAAAATCAAACAAATCAAATCTCTCTCTGTAAGTTGTTTGTAAATGTTGAAAGAGCATAATTTTGGAGTTTTGTCATGTGGCAGTTTAATAGGAAGCAGTGGGCGGTTGAACTGACTTGTAAATTATAGTAAAAGGATTACAGTTTTTTTTTATAATTAATACAAGGTGAGTTTGTGGGATAATCAAAAAAATTATAATCTAAAAAATAACTAATTGATTAGAGAGAGATAAAAAAAGGTATGATTTGATTAATTTTTAAATTATAGTTTTTGTGTGTTATTTATTTTTGCTGATTATGGTCAGTTTGGTTAATAACAAAAAACATTACAATATAGAATTTTGAAAAATTAGCAAAAGTGACTTACAAAACATTTATAATTCACAAGATAACCATACAAAAAAAATCAATTACGGTCCCACATATTTTGCCTTTTTTTACGAAGAAAACCATTTTCCTTATACCTACAGTAAAGAGACAGAGAAACTGTAAAAATAGACAGGAGACTTATGAAATTAGAACTCAAGATTGAATCAACGTTTGAATCGGCAACGATTGGGTTGGAAGTCGCAAAAGGAGTCTTCACCGAATGAAGATCTTGTCATATTCATCTTTACCATATTGTATTCTTCTGCTCTTCATCATTATATTTCTCTTATCAAGCCTATTCTATTTACGAAAGTGGTATTTTAGTATATGTGAAGATTTGTACTCGAGTTTTTATTTTTTTTCAAAATCCAATTCATGTTTAATGCAAAAAAAAAATTCTATATTTTCAGTATGCTTTATAAATTGATAGTATGAGTTTTATGCAATGGAGAAGAAAATTTTTGATCAAAGGAAAGAGACGATGAGGTGGCATGAGTTTTGGGGAAAAATCGTCCAAAAAATTGGACTCTGGTTAGTGACTTTATTACATGATTATCATGGCTATAAACGCATACTTCAATATGATTATATTGCTAATTCACCCTAGAATTTAACCATTTAATTCGAAAAAGATAAGTAGAGATAGACAGAAAAAAAAATTTGGTTGATAATCAAAAAAATAAAATAAAACTTAATTACCAAAACCTCTAGATCCTAAAACAAATATGGTGGAATGAAGAGATAAAAATAAATTATGGAACATTTGCTCAGGATACTCTTCCTTTGTTACAGTTTGATATGATCATATGACTAATCAAATTGGAATGTATTGTCGGAAAATCTATGTTTATATTGGAGATTTGATAATTGATTTTCTTTGATCTTATTCTCCTCAACATAAAAACCTTTTAAAAAGGAAATATTGGAAATTAAAGACCTTTTTTTTTCTTTGTCCATGTTGGAGTTGGATTCGTCACAATCTTGTAACTCAAAGAACCCAGAGTAAGATAATTTAGAATACATTCTTTTTTTTTTCAAGAATTTAGAATCAATTCGAATGGTAACGATCACTACTCTTCATCTTCATAGAACCAACTATGTTTTCGGTTACTTCATTCAATACTCCAATAAACGATTTAAGCATCCGGTTAATTGGTAAACGATGAAGAACAATGTGATCGGTTGTGTATGCGAACCAAAATTTGGTCTCTCTTCCCGGTTCCGATCGAATCTCCAACCCAATATTATGACCCGATCAACCTAATATTTTGTCCAAAGTCGGCGCATTAAAATATTAATGTAATCCGAAAATTAAGTAAATCAATTCAAATCTAAAACATTATTGTTCTAATTAATCGACATACAAAAATATCTCTTAAAATAATATTTAGGAATATTCACAATGATATGCTACCCTTCCATGATCAGAATTTCAAAATTACACATAATTATTAGAAGAGATTGTCTCATAGATGTAAATCTATATGAATCAAAAATTGATTCTCAGAACCAAACCTTATTTATATGTATCGGTAAAGAGATTGTCGTAGATGTAAATCTACCAAACCTTATATGGAATCAAAAATTAATTCTCATAACTAAAACTTTACTGAAACACCTAAACTCATCATCTTTGTGTATATAATTGAAATCATAAATGAATATTCTATAAGATACTAGGTATTAGTCGAGATTTGGTTATAAAAAAATTAGTGTAATCCGAAATTTGAGTAAATCAATTCCAAATTTAAAAGACTGTTAGTGGACATATATATATATGGTAGATTTTGTAAATTTTTGTTTTAATTTTCGGATTTTTCGTGCAATTTCCCAATTTTATTCCCCAAAATTTTTAAACTGCCCACTAATACTCTCACTA